GTGCCCGCTCATAGGTGTCCTGCCCCCAGGGAAAGAATGAGGAGGATGATGGTGCTGGAGTTGAGACCAGCTCTGCCCTGTGTGACCCTGGGCAGGGCATTCACCTCTCTGAGCCTCAGTTTGCCCCCCACGCCCTGTAAAGTGAGAGGGCTGGATAAGGTGGCGTCTTCATTCTTTCAGCACTTACGACAAGGCCCTCCATCCAAGTAACAAAAGGGAAACACAAAGCCTGTGACTGGACTCAACAGCCGCGCCATCCTGAGCCCAGAACTTTCCAGAATGGGGCTGGCAGAGGGGAAGATATGCACCCTCTCCCCATAGGGCTGGGGACTCAGCCTCTGCCTGTCTTCCCAGGCCCCAGGTTTCAGGCCCCGAACAGCCTGAGTCCACAGGGTGAGAGGGTGTGGGAAAGGCCAACGGGCGTGTGGGTCTCCAGCCTCTGCTCATCCTCGGGAAGCGCATCGTGCGGTGCTTTTCCCGTCTGGGACCTAATAGTCAGCAGTTATTTATTGTCTCGTTTCTTAGTGGGTAGGAAAGCCACAAATGAGTAAACTCAGGCAGCAGGGCACAATTACTGAGCCCGGTGCTTTATTTCCTCAGCTTGCCTCCAGCCCCGGCAGCGGTGGGTCGATAATAATTTATGAGGCAGCCCCCGAAGTGGAGGAGGAGGAGGAGGCCAAATAACCACATTTGCTTCCCCCGGCCCTCCCTTGACCGGCTCTGCCGCTCACAGGTGGCTGGGCCGGGAGGCTGCGGGATGAGGCAGGAAGTGGAGGCTGTGGCCAGCCATCGCCGCAGGAGGGGTCCCAGCTGGAGCACTGCGCAGTGCCAGGCTTTGTCCCAGCCACCAACAGACCCCTTCTCTGAGGCAGGGGCGTCCCGAGACTAAAATGGGGGCAGGGGTGGCAGTGTCTCCCCACCAGGCACTTGGGGTTTGTCTCTGGGGCTCTGCAGAAGCAGAGCCTGAGTCGGGTCCAGCCCTGCACTCCCAGGGAGCCCTGAGGGAAGAAGTAAAGCAGGAGAGGGTAGGGGGAGGACCAGCCAGGGTAGTCTCAGTTTGGTCTGCTCTGCAAGGGGCACTGGCAAATCTGCAGCACTGACCTCTGACCTCTGGGTCAGTTGGTCACTGACTGCTGGCTATACCTAGGAGAAGGGGGAGGAGGGAGGGGAGGATGGAGAGGGACATGGGAGGAGGAGGGGAGGATGAAGGGGAGGAGGCTGAGAAGGAGGGAAGAGGATGGGGAGGGGGCATGGGAGGAGGAGGAGAAGACAAAGGGGAAGAGCGGGGGAGAAGGAGGGAAGAGGATAGGGGGCATGGGAGGAGTAGGGGAGGAGGGAGGGGAGGAAGAAGATGGAGGAGGAGGAAAGAGAAGATGAGGAGGGACATGGGAGGAGGAAGGGAGGAGGGTAGGGAGGAGGAGAGAAGAGAGGATGGGAAGGGGGCATGGGAGGAGGAGAGCAGGAGGGAGGGAGGGAAGAAGACGGAGGAGGAGGGAAGAGAAGACGAGGAGGGACATGGGAGGAGGGAGGGAGGAGGAGAGAAGAGAGGATGGGGAGGGGGCATGGGAAGGGGAGGGGAGGAGGAATGGGAGGAGGGAGAGGAGGAAGAAGACGGAGGAGGAGGGAAGAGAGGATGGGGAGGGACATGGGAGGAGGAGGGGAGGAGGGAGGGGAGAAGAAGGGAAGAGAGGATGGGGAGGGGGCATGGGAGGAGGATAGAAGAGGGATGGGGAGGGGGCCTAAGACTCCAGCTCCTGGGGCAAGGGAAGGGGCAGTGGCAGGCTCCACTGCAGGGTCTGCAGCCTGCGGAGCATGGGACAGCATTCACCCCGCCTCAAAAGGAGGCTGGGATTTGGATTTCATCATTCATGTAGCTGATTTCATCACGTTTCATTTTCTGTCAAGTTTCCTGCCATTACAATCTCATTCATTCCTCCAGGGACATGAGGATGCGAGGCTGGGAGGTGGGGGGGCGGGTGGCACCATCGTAGCTTTTGCCCCAGGGCTGCGCTGGTGCCAGGGAGGTGGATGTGGGGGAGGAGCCTGCAGGGGTAAGGCTGGGGTGGGGTCGGGCTGGTGGGTTAGAACAGTAGCTGAGGTGCATGCCCAGGGAGAGCTGGGCCAGTCCTTTGGGCGTTCGTACAGCACCTCCTGGAGTCATCACCACAGCCTAGGACGTTGCTGCCACTATCCCCCCCATCTGACAGATAAGGAGACTGATGTTCAGAAGACACTTGGCCCAAGGGGCGCAGCTGCTGAAGTTGCATGAGGGGCCCCAACTCCCCACCTGGTCGCCGGCCGTTAGCACTGTCCTGTCCCCTCCAGCAAGGCTTACCTGTTCTTCCCACAACTGCCCTCCTGACAGTGGGCCACTACCCCAGTCCCCCAGGAGGCTGCTGAGGCCCAGAACAGCCAAAGGCAGGAGCACCAGAGCGGCTGCTGGGCCAGTCCCAGCATCTGGCCACTCTTCTCTGTGTCCCGAGGCCTCTCTCTGGGGCTGCAGGAAGCATACTGAGGGCGGTGGGGTCACTCTGGGCTCTCAGGTGGCACGGAGGACAGCGGGGCTGCCGGCCCTCTATCCCCATGTGATCTCAGCTCCTGAGGGTCCCAAAAAACAATCCTAGCCGGGACCATAGCACACTCTGGTGTATTCAAAAGGCCACTGTCCTTCCTGGCCTCCGAGCTTGGCCTGTGTTAGGGTCGCTGTGGCATCCCAAGTGGCTGGAGTCACTGCACAGTCTCAGGGCTCCAAAGACGGCTCCAGTTCCTACCCACTAACATCTCCCCTGTTCTTGTCTTTCTGTCTGCCTCTTAAAAAAATTAAACATGGATGGTTTCATCTGGGGAGAATTAGTATTCCAGGCAGGCCAGTGGATGTGATCAGAATGTCAAGGCCAGAGACACAGGGCCTGAAGGGAAGGGAAGAGGTGCTGGGCCAGGCAGGGGTCCTGGGGCGGGGGCAGAGGGCTCTGACCCTGCCAATGGAGGGCTGGTGGGGCCTCCCAGGGGCCTATATGCCGCTGGAGAGGTTGAGGTTGGGTGTGGCCAGAGGTCCTGACACAGCATACACAATGGGAGGAGATGGGGGCGGCTCAGAGACCACATGTGGCCATGACAGTGGCTTCCCATGGCCCAGCCTGGCTCCTCTGCCCCATCCACTCCCACTCTCATTCAGCCCTCACTTGCTGCAGGCACGTGTGCCACTGTGAGCTAGCCACCATCTGGGCACCAGGGAGGCACAGGGCAGGGACAGGCCTGTCCTCACCACTGCATGTCACCAGCACCAGGCCCCTGCCTGGCACACAGCAGCCCCTTACCAAAAGCCTGAGTAAACGGGTACATGAACACCCTCAGCATCTCCCCAAGCATGGTTTGAAGAAGACACGAATGCTGGGAGGTTAACAGGTGTCACCAAAGACAAAGTCCGTTGGTAACCGCTGGAGTGAGCAAACTTCAGTCGGCATCTTTGCCGCAGGACTTCTCAGAGCCTTTAATTTGCTAATGCGCCCTGTGACCCTGCAGAGGGAGCTGGGCTTGCAGCCTCCTGCTGTGCGAGCTGACCTTTAGTCCCTGGCCACACAGGAGTGGCTGGTGTGGCCGCGAGGACCCAGAGTGGAGAGAGGAGTGAGTTTGCATCCAGGCCCTGGAGCAGACCCCCTGGGCAGGCTCCTGAATATCTGTCTTCTCAGGTGGAAAATTGGAATGGTAGTAACAGTGCCTGTGCATTCAGCGAGGCGACGTGTGAATAGTGTCTGCCTCGGACACAACACAGGGTGGCCACTACTGTTGTTGTTAGTATTATTATTATCCACATCAACATCTCAGCTCTGTGTGCCTGGGCCATCTAGAGCTCAATTGAGTCAGCTGCTGGTGTTGTCATGCTGAGGACACAGTCCTTACCCTTAAGAGCTCACGGCCCATTGGGAAAAGACAGTTATACTCCCCGGTGGAGAGGGCAAGGGCTGAGTGAGCCGGGAAGCCAGGCCTCCACCTGGCGTGCTCACCACTGCCTGGCATCTCTGCCAGTGGCCATGTAGACTAGGTATGGATGCCCCTGGTGGGGGCAGCCTGGCCCACCTTTGGGCATCTCCACCTGGTATAGATTTCTTTCTTAACTCCATCCCTCCCAGTACTTCCCTCCCAGTCCTTCCAGTTCTTGGGCCTCCCAGAACAGGTCCGTTTTCCTTCTCTGCCAAGGACAGGAGACTGCCCTCTTCCCGGACTGGCTGAACAAGCCCCACCCCCTCTTGGTCATGGCCAAGGTCACTCCCCACCCATTAGGCCGCCTGCTCTGTAGTGTGGCTGTGCGTCCCTAAGTGCCCAGAACAGAACAGTGTTCTAGTCTGGCGTGACCAGGGTGGAAGGAGGGAGGAGGTGGTGTAGCGATCACCTCCTTCAATATGCCATTGATTCCTCCATTAATGCAGCCTGTGCAGCAACCAGAAGCTGGGGGCAAGCTGTCCCTCTGTGTCTGGTACAGTGAGCCACCTTGCTCCGCAGCAGCAGAGGAGCCGGCTGACAGAGAGCAGGGTGCCAGGGGAGCCTGAGAGGCCAAAGTTAAGCAGGCCGGGGCTGGGCGCGGTGGCTCACGCCTGTAATCCCAGCACTTTGGGAGGCCAAGCCAGGCAGATCATCTGAGGTCAGGAGTTTGAGACCAGCCTGGCCAACGTGGTGAAATCCCATCTCTATTAAAAATATATAACTTAGGCTGGGCACGGTGGCTCAGGCCTGTAATCTCAGCACTTTGGGAGGCTGAGGCCGGTGGAACACGAGGTCAGGAGTTCAAAACCAACCTGGAAGATGGTGAAACCCCGTCTCTACTCAAAATACAAAAAAAGTTAGCCAGGCATGGTGGCGGGCGCCTGTAATCCCAGCTACTCAGGAGGCTGAGGCAGAGAACTGCTTGAACCTGGGAGGCGGAGGTTGCAGTGAGCTGAGATCGTGCCACTGCGCTCCAGCCTGAGTGACAGAGACTCCATCTAAAAAAAAAAAAAAAAAATCCCAAAAAGCAAAGTTAAGCAGGCTGGGGACAAGGAAGGGTCAGGGAAGCTTCCTGGAGGAAGAAACAGTTGTCAGTCAGAAATGAATGGCAGGCTCCTGGAGTGAAGGCCTCCTGAGTCATCCTTTCCTGCCCCTGCCTAACCACAGGGTGACTGGCAGAGCCATTTGGTTGCGTACGTCATGGGGCAGACTCCGGAAGCTCAATGTGCGGCTGCTGTGGGCAGGATCATTTGTCTTTGGGAAAAGTGGTTCAGGGAGGCTGGCCACAGAGGTCAAAGGCCTCTCAATGCTGGCCCCTATCTACCAGGATTCAGAAAATCACCCCCCACCCCACGACCAGGGCATCTTTGGCTGTGCCTGGGGTTCACAGGGGCATGGAGGCCGAAGCACTTCCCAGAGGTCACATCCAGGTTGGGGGGCCCAGGAGTGGCCTGTGTCCCAGGAGGGGAGGTAGCCACAGGTCTCCCAGCCCCCTGTGCTCCGGGAGCGAAGGTACCAGGGGCCTCGTTAGCTGCAGCTTCAAAGAGCCTCGTGATTAACAAAAGTGTGCTGCGAATCCTTTCTCTTCCTCCTTCTCTCCTTAAGGCAGGCTCCCGAATGAAAAGGAAAATATACAATGAGAGGCACTAAGGAAACCTCAGAGGAAAGCCAGGCGTCTGCAAAGATGGGGAAGGAATGACATTCCACTCTCATGTGAGGTGTGGGCTGGCTTGCTTGCTTTATTTATTTAAAATAGTCTCTCTCTTTTCCCCCATTCCTCCCAATTCAGCTAGTCTCTCAGGCTGCGCTTTAAGTTCTTTTGAAGTGTTACAACCATTTTCTCCTCTTTCAATTAACAACAAGAAAAGGAAGCTAATAGCTTCCTGAGCCACTCGCTGTAAATATTAACAAAGTCTGGCCGCCTGGGCCGAGCGCGCAGCGTTGCTCTCGGCCAGAGAGCATGTTTACGGGAAGGAGGGAAGGGTGGGAGATTTCCAACACAGAGGGAGAAAATCCCCTGGCACAGGCTCTTGCTGGTGCAGGGAAACCAGAGAGCTGGGAGCTGAGTGAGAGGGCACCTGTCCCTGGGGGCCGGAGGCTGGCAGAGCTGGTGGGAGCGAAGTAGTGAACTGAGGTTGCTAGTGGATGCTTCTGGAAGGAAAGGCAGCTTCCACCAGCTGCACTTGAGTAACTCGGATGATGGCATATGCGGCCTGGAATCCCCAGCTCACAGCGGAGGTCTGAGAAGGAGAGCTGAGTTTCTAGATGCAGTAGGCGGAGGGAGGTGCTGCCAGTTCCTGAGGGTGCACACTGGACCCCCAGCACTAGCACAGAGCCCTGGAAGGAGGTGGGCAGGGGGCTCCTGAAATAGGGCAGGAGGGGCTCCAAGTCAGGGGTCGAGACCTGAATGGTGGAGTGCGAGGCTGCGGGGAGGGTCTGGGGAAGGGGTAGCCGAGGAAGGGAGCTGATGGCCCTTGGGCAGAGCCTGGGTTCCCTGACAGCTCCTCAGCTTTCTCCCTGGGGAGTCTCCAGCAGTGGTCCCCCACCCCCCAGGGGCCCGTGAGCCTACAGGATGTGTTGTGCTGCAGTCAGCACAGTGCTGCCTCAAACTGCCGCTCGAGAGCTCCAGCACGGGGCCCATTTCACAGCCAGGCTGCCAGGAGACGCTGTGAGAGTGCCCAGACCCTGGAGGCCAGGAGCGGACCAGGGCTGCCTGCCGGCTCCACCACCTGCCTCGGCCAAGGGGCAGCCAAGAGCACTGTGACGGGCAGGCAGGGGGTCGAACAGCCACTGTTCTGCCGACAAAAGCAGGCCAATTTCCTGAAAGAAGAGGTTCCGGCCTTGGCTGGTGGCGCCAGGTTCATCACCCCCTGAGCTTCCTCTAGGCTGGACACAGGCCCTAATGGGCACGGGCAATGCATCACAGTGAGGTCTGCTAGGTAGAGCAGGCAGGCAAGTGGTCATTCCTGTCCCCTCCTTTTTTTTTTTTTTGAGACTGAGTCTCTCTGTGCTGTCCACGTTAAAATGCAGCGGCACGATCTCGGCTCACTGCAACCTCCACCTCCTGGGTTCAAGCGATTCTCTTGCCTCAGCCCCCCAAGTAGCTGGAATTACAGGCATCTGCCACCACACCCAGCTAATTTTTTTTTTTTTTTTTAGTAGAGACAGGGGTATCAACATGTTGGCCAGGCTGGTCTCAAACTCCTGACCTCAAGTGATCCGCCTGCCTCGGCCTCCCAAAGTGCTGGGATTACAGGCGTGAGCCACCGCACCCTGCCCTGTCTCCTTTTGTGCCTAGAGTTGCTCTGTGAAAGGGCAGGCTCCGGCTGCAGTGTGCCTCCCTGAGAGCATGAGAGCAGGCCTGTGCGGGGCTGCCGCGTCCCCATCCCCTCCAAGCACACTGCCGGCTGCGTCCCCTCGAGGGCCTCCCCCTGCAGAGCTGAGAGCCAATGCCTGTCCCTCAGTGAGCTGAGTGTGAGCGGCCCTTGCTGGTCTCCCCCTCACCCACTCTCTCAGCGTCTGGGCCCAGGAATTCCTGCCTGCCCTTGCTGGGAGGAGATTTCAAAGGCACAAGAGCACTCCAGGCAGATGAGGACTCTTCAGGCGCCTGCGTGCTCCTGTCTCCCTGCTGCCCGGGGACGGCAGTGCCCACTGGCAGCCGTTTCTAGGTCCCCTGTTGCTCAGCTGCACTGTGAGGGCAGCACCTTCAGCTAGGGAGCCCTCCCCTCTGCAGCACCCTGAGCCTGGCAGAACTGGGCCTCCAGACCCCCCAGACCGTGCAGGGAGGGGCTGCTGGGTCCAGTGGGGCAGGTAGGGAGCGGCAGGTGGCTACGGTCTGTGCCCAATTTGGCCTGCTGGGCTTCTCTGCCAACTCAGCACCAGGGGATGGGTGAACTCCCAGGCCACCTCTGGCCACAGCTGCCCATGTGTGAAGGGAAGGAAGGAAGAGAATAAAGAAGGGGAGATGTCCCGTGGCAAGAGAAGCTCCGTCCCAGGCGAGTGGGCCCTGCACCCCTGGAGGGCCCTGCTCTGGGCGCTGCCTGCTGAGTTTCTCTGATGGCCATCTTGAGGGTGGGCGCTGGCAAAGGCCCAGGCCTGCTGGCCGGGCGGAACAGACTCCTGAAGCCACCCACGGCCTGGCTCGCACTCTTGCAAATACCCTGAAAGTCTGGGTTTTGTCAGGAGATGGTTTAATTAGCAGAGCGGAGGCTGGGAGGGTTCGCACCACACAAGCAGGCTCTCGCCTCCGCCTCTTCTCACCCTGCTACTCGGGTGCCATGCAGTGGTGCCAAGCCTGGGGGCCAGGAGAGAGTGGGCAGGGAATGGGGTGGGCCCATCTCACAGAGCAGAAGGCACAGCCTCCAGAGGCCTTCCTGCTCCTGCTAAGGCCCGGGGCTGCGGGCTGCAGATCAGGACCAGGCTCAGAACCCACAGCAAGCCGGCTGTCCATGGCTCTCTTGATGGTGCTCCCAGGAGCACTCAGCTGCCCTCCAGTGAGGAGAAGAAGATGGGAACCCACTCAGCACCCAGGCCTGTCTTCAGGGAGTAAAGCCCGGGGGACTCCCAAGTTGGCCCCTTCCCTTCAACCCCTCACTGCGTGAGGTCCCCAGCCCAGGTCCTCCCCACCCCTTTTCCTGATGGTGCGGTTCCAGCTTTTCACTGGTCCTCTCCTGTGCACCTGGGCACCTTCCAGGTCTCCATGCAGCAGCGAGAATGCTTTTTTTTTTTTTTTTTTTTTGAGGCGGAGTCTTGCTCTGCCGCCCAGGCTGGAGTACAGTGGCCGGATCTCAGCTCACTGCAAGCTCCGCCTCCCGGGTTCACGCCATTCTCCTGCCTCAGCCTCCCGAGTAGCTGGGACTACAGGCGCCCGCCACCTCGCCCGGCTAGTTTTTTGTATTTTTAGTAGAGACGGGGTTTCACCGTGTTAGCCAGGATGGTCTCGATCTCCTGACCTCGTGATCCGCCCATCTCGGCCTCCCAAAGTGCTGGGATTACAGGCTTGAGCCACCGCGCCCGGCCGAGAATGCTCTTTCTAAACTGCAAGTCTGGTCACACTCCTCCATGCCTGGGCACCCCCACGGCCTCCCCGCTGCCCTCATACGATGACTAGGCCCCTCAGCGCAGCATTCAGAGCACCCCCAAAGCCAGGCTCCGGGCCCTGCTTCAGCTCGGATCACGGCCCTCCACTCACTCAGAGCTCTGGGACACTGACCTCTCATTGTACTAAGCCCTCCAGCCTTCACACAGGATGTTCCCTCAGCCTGAAATGTTCTTCCCGTCCTACTCCCTACATGCTGAGCCCATTACAGGAGTGGTCCTAGCCCCCAGACAGCAATGCTCTCCCTGCCCGCAGCCTTCTGTCTCCAGTGCCCTCGGGAGAGAGGGAATAAGCAGCCCCCAGACTGCTCTCTGCAATGGGAAAAAAAGGAACGGGCTCTGTGGACAGCCATCCTGGTAGGGGGAAGTCAGCAGCCATGGAACAAACTCCAGTTTGAGTCACAAAGAGTCTTTTCATCTATAAAGGTCAGATACAGATGCTGACCTCAGCCTGGAAGTCCAAAATGAAAGAAAATCCTGGGTCTCCTAGCTCGCACCAGCTCTGACCTGCTTACAATGATCTAAACTCTGCCCTCTTTGCCACAGGGCAGCTCTGCCCAGGGAGGGGGCAGGCATGTTGTTCATTTAAAACACCACTTCGCTAAGTCGCCAGCCATAAAGCCCACCTGGGTTTCTAGCAGCACATACCAGTCATCTGATTAATGACACATACATAAAAATCCATCCCTAGGAGCCAAAGGTTGAAATGAAACAGGAGGGCTAATTGCTAATATAGGAATTAATATCAGAGAGCTCTGATCTTTAAGGCAGCTATGAACTGTAAAGCTGAGGGCTTGAGGATCGTTTCTACTTCGGGAGGAAGCCCTGAGGGCCAAGGGTGAGCAGTGGCTCTGGAAGATAGGCAGGTGGTCAAGGGAAAACCCAGCCAGACCTGCCCCCCTCTGGATGGCCACTGAGCTCACGTGTGATTGTCATGACATGGGAGTACCCCAGAACCACAGCACAGCATCATCATCTTCAAAGCTCTTGGCTCCCACACTGCCCTGTGTGCGCCTCAGATTGTAGCCCTCTGAAAACCAGTGCCCTTCCCACTGGACTGTGAGCTCCTGGAGGATGGGGGCATCTCTTTGGATCCCCAATGTCTTGTACAATGCCTGGAGCATGATTAGATTCAGAATATGTTTGCTGGATGGAGAGATGGGTAGATGGAAAGATGGAGAAATGGATAGATGGAGAGGGAGAGATGGATGGATGAATGGACAGATGGAGAGATAGATGGAGAAATGGATGGATGGATGAAAAGATGGAGAGATGGATGGATGGATAGAGATGAATAGATGGATTGATGGAGAGATGGAGGGATGGAAGGATGAATACAGAGATGGAAGGATGGAGAGATGGGAGGATGGATGGAGAGATGAATGGATAGATTGATGGAGGGATGGATGGATGAAGAGATGGAAGGATGAATGGAGAGACAGATGGAAGGACGGATGGAGAGATGAATGGATGGGTTGACAGATGGAGAGATGGATCGGTGAATGGAGAAATGAGAAGGAAGGATGGATGGATGGAGAGATGAATGGATAGATGGATGGATGGATGGATGAATGAATAGAGAAATGGTGAGATGGAGGGATTGAGAGATGGTGGGATTGAGGAATGGAGGGAGAGATGGAAGGATGGAGGGATGTATGGATGGAGGGGTACACAAGAGAGCCTCAGGAGAAGCCCAGGGCCCCTCAGTGCAGTGTTTGGTGGATGGTCTGTTTCTCTTGCACTGTCTAGGAGTAGTGTAGCCATAAGGAAATTGGCCTGGAGTTTGAGGCCCTGACTCTGCTTCAGGTTGTATAACCCTGGACAAGTCCCACTCCCTCTTCTTAGTCCACACAATGGAGGTGGTCCTCCCTGACCTGCTAGCCATGCTGTCTTCCCAAGCTCAGGGAAGAGGCAAGGCAGAAATTACTGGGAAAGGACAAGGTGCATTGTCCCCTGGCATATATGTATGGGCAGATTCAGCCAAAATGCAGAGGGTAATGCAGAGATGTGAGACTGGGGACTTGGCGTTTTCTCCCTCCTTTCAAATTTCTTTTAATACAGTGGTGATGTTATTGATGATAACAAAAGTAGAATTGTGTAAGCATCTCAAAGTACTTTTACTCAAAATGGAAGCTTTTATGATGTTGACTCAAAAAATGGTTTACCGGTTTTGAGCACGGAGACCAGACCTGGAGCCTGTGGGAACAGGGGAGGCCAAGGGGATGAGTGTAACCACTAACTTTACACGGCGTGGTCTCCACTCACTCGAGCCAGGAGGGTGGCCACTGGGGGCGCTGTGGCTCTGGCGGGAGGTGTCTGCCAGGCGCACGCATTTACATATTTATTCTTGGGCCTCCTTTGGTTCAGTGAATGCAGGTGGCTACTAATGATCATCATTATGCACCCACACAAGGGAAGAGCCACAGTGCTGCTGGAGAGCTCACACCTCCCAACCACTGCCAGCCAGACTCACTTGGAAAACCAATACACACCCCAGAAGCCTGAGAGGCCCCACTCATCAAGGGCACAGATGCCGAGGAGCCCAGTATCCCAGCACTGGGGTTCCAGGAGGCTTTGCAGGCCCCAGGGAAGGTGGGGGTGGGGGCTGCAGCAGGGAAGGCGGACTGAGGACATACAAAGCTGGATGGGCACCAAGAGCCTCACTTAGTGCCTTGGTTTTCTAAATGAGGAAGCAGATGGGAAGTTCGCTGAGTGCATTTATTAAGCACCAACTGTGTGCAAGGCACTGAGCCAGACGCTGGGGGATCCAGCCTCAGGTCCTCCCTTGAAGCCAGGGAGACAATTCTTTTCATGCTATGTCATTGCTGTCATGGTTCACAGGACCACACAAGCCAAGGGGAGGGTGGCCCATTGCAGGAAGGGAGGGATGACGTCTGCATGGATTCTTACAGAAGGGGAACAGTACAGTGAAGGGCCAGGCTGGAGCCAGCTCAGGGCATTAGTGGGCAGTAGTGGCAGACACGGCGGGTGGGCTGGGCAGGGCCCTTGGAGACTACCGTAGCAGCATTGCCTCTATCCTGACAGCTATGGGACACTCTCAGGATAAAGCTGAGAAGCTATGGGAAGGGTCTGAGGCGAACACACCGGTGGGATGAACTTGCCTCCTTTTTGGGTTCTTAATTTCAAAAGCAGAGCTCAGTGGTTTCTCTCTTTATCGGGAGGCAGCGGCCACGGCTGGCTGGAGCCTCTAGGCTCCCAGGACACGGCCGTCATCCTCTCAAAATGCCGAAGCCTGCTGCCCCTGCCCCACCCCCATTGGTATAAAACAATTTCTGCGCCCCGGCCAGGGAGGCAGATGACCTCATTGGACTTTCTCCATCTCTCGCTTTCATGGAGAAATTACAATTTATAATCGGATGAAATCACGCGGGTGGTAATAGCAATAAGGGCTTGTGCTGGAGCCGGCCGCCTTCCCCCCCGCACACAGGGACTCTGTCCTCATCTTCCCTCCTGCGTAAGCCCCACCGCACCCCTTCCAGGGCCTGTGCCCCACCTGTAGTATTCACCAGGGACTGGCCATTCAGAATCGATGTCCCATGGGGCTTGCTGGCTCTGAAACCTCCTTTCTCCTAGGGCAGCTTGTCCCAAGAAAACTCCCCCCGCCACCCTGTCCACCCCATCAGTCTCAGCCTGCACACCACCTGGCTGGCACACACTCTTCCCGAATGCCTTCCCTGCCAGGCTGTGAGTCCCGTGGGCAGCCACCCCCTATCTGGGTGCTGGGTTTATTAAAACATGAACCCCAATATCCCTGTTTTTATTTGTAACAGCCTCCAACAAGCATTTCTCAAATCAGCCACCTTAGGCCCTACAAAGAAAAGTGCCCAGATGCAGCTGAGCCCATCTGGATCTGATTTCAAACCAGAGCGAGCACTCTCAGATGTGTAATAAAAGCCCTTTTCCAAAGAGGGGCTCCTGCAGGGGGAATACGGACACCAGGGCACCACGGCCTTTCCACATGCCGCACTAATGAGAGGTGCTGGGGACGGCTCGGGCTTTTGTTTTGGATTCTGGAACAGCGTGCCCTGCCCTCCGTCTGTGCGGAAGGGGAGGGCGGTTGCCGGTGTTGAGGACTGACCCCCCACCTAGGAAGTGGGGTGGGCACCGGACAGAGGCCAGGAACATGGAGACCCAACTTCCCCAGTTCCCTGATGGTTCTGCTTCCCATGGTGGGGAAAGGCAGTGCTTGTTCTGGAAGCCCAGGCCATGGCGGTCCAGTTGGAGCTTTTGAATGACATTTAGCAAGAAGAGCAGGTGCTGGGGGAACTGGAGCCAGCTCTGGGCTGGGCGGGTGGCCCTGCACAGCCAGGAGCTCCAAAAACTTCATTTTTCTCTTCCCAGTCCTTCCACCCCAAGGGAGGGAAAACCAGGTAGCTGCAAGGCTGGGCACTATGCATAGCCAACTGTTGTCAGGATTTGGAAAGAGGCAGGAGATGGGGAGAATAACCCCAGGCCCTTCCCCGGCTCACGGGCAAGTGGCATTTAAAAAAAAAACAAAAAAAAAACAAAAAAAAAAAACCGGATCCAGATCCAGGCTGGGTGCGGTGGTTCATGCCTGTAATCCCATCACTTTGGGAGGCCAAGGCAGGCAGATCATGAGGTCAGGAGATCAAGATCATCCTGGCCAACATGGTGAAACCCCACCTCTTCTAAAATACAAAAAAAAAAATTAGCCAGGTGTGGTGCCTTGCACCTGTAGTCCCAGCTACTCAGGAGGCTGAGGCAGGGGAATCGCCTGAACCCGGGAGGCAGAGGTTGCAGTGAGCCGAGATCGCGCCACTGCACTCCAGCCTGGCGACAGAGTGAGACTCCATCTCAAAAAAGAAAAAAAAAAACAGGATCCAAAGCAAAGGGGGCTGCAGCCCAGTGGCCCTGATGGATGCTGTCCCAATGCGGTCCCTCATGTCTCTGGGCTTAATCACTGGTATTGTTTTTGGCAGGTAAGGAAGCAGGCAGTGGGCGAGAAGATGGATTCCTTTTTGGAAAGACAAGACCAGGGGGTGAAGCGGGAATAACTCATCCTCCCTACCTTCCCAGCAAGGAAACCTCTACAAACAGGAGCAGCCAAGCGGGACTGAGGCCCTCGCCCCCCAAGCATCTTCCCAAAGAAGGGCATGTGGGGGCCTGACAGCTCAGCTGTACGTGTCAGCAGCTCCAGCCCCACCGTGAACATCTGAACTCCTCAGCGGGGTAATGGACCCCTCCTTCCCCCCGGAGATGCAGCCTGAGTGACAGGAATACGGAGCCTTTGGAGAGTGGCTCCCTCTCAGCTCTGTCATGCAAGAACGCTCTGTGCACCCAGCCCATTCTGCCAAGTGACTTAAAGGGATTTTAAAAAAAAGCCTTGGTAAACCAAAAGGGGGTAAAAGCCAAAAGCCACGCAGAGGCCTTTCAGAAGAGGTGGCGGCCTGCAGACAAAAGGGCAAGAGTTGAAAAGGGCCGTGGAGGTAGCAAGCAGCAGAGGCCACCCTGCTCGGGGCTGGGTGCCAGGCCACAGGGCATGCCCGACGAACGGGGAGTCGGAACCCCCTCAGGCCACCCTCAGGAGTCCTGGGGCCCAGAGGGGTGTCCCTGTACCCCCTGTGCGCAGGACCCTCACTCTGCAGGGAGAAGCCAGCTGCGCCCGCGGCCTAGGGTGCCAAGGATGCTGCTGACCGTGGCCCGCAGCCTCATCTGAACGCCAGGAGACCAGAAGACTGAGGCACCGGATCCCCTCTCTGTGCCCTGGGGTGCCCCAGCACTGCCCCGTCACCCCGGGTCTGAGGTCTGTGTCCCTAGTGGTGCAAGGCCTGGTAGGACCACGGGGCCGGGAATGTGAGCGCCATCTGAGCTCACGGTGTCCCGAGTTGCGGCTTCGTGACTTTGGCGTGGGCCTTCAGACCAGCAACTCGTCGGACCCAGAGGGCTCCTGGGCTGCAGCGACGAAGGAGGTAAGGCCCAAGGACGAGGGAAGAGGGACGTGAATTCGGAAGGGCTCCGGGGTGGCCCAGGGTTCCTCGCGCCCAGACAGCTGGGTCCCGCCCTCCAAAGACCCCTTTCCTGGCCAGAGCTCCACGGGTCTCCACAGGTCTGCAGCTCCATCCCATCCACCCACTCACGCAGTTCACGCAGCTGGCGGCTTCTGCTTGCCAGCATAAGCATCATTTGCCACCTGGTGGTCCCTGTGCTGCTGGGCTCTACCCAGCAGCTGGACCTGGGATGTAACGGCGTGGCCTCTCCTGGAGTAAATGGCCCTGCAGTGGGGTGGGGAAATCTCATTTTGAGCCCCCTCCCTAACGGTGGTGGCAGTGAGGCCTGGTGGGTGGTGGGCAGGAGCTCTGGTAACCTAGGCTACTTTCCCTGGTGCCTGCTGCCCTTGAACGGGAGGGAGTCCACAAGTCTACATCAGGGTCTGCTGTCTGGGTAGCAGGGTCTGCTACCTGCTGTCTGGCCAGGGACCCAGGGTGGGGTTGATCCAAAGCTACTGCCCAAGGTCCTGCTCCTGTTGGCCCTTGGGCATCGTCTGCGCTGGCTTCCAGTTCAGCCTCTTTGTTGGTTACAGGAGCCAGCTGAGGCCCAGAGAAGGGCAGCGAGTGCCCCAAGGGTCACACAGCAGGCGGTGAGCGCTCCCTCCCACTGAGGTGGAGCTGACTCCTCCAAGGATCCCCGGAGGCCGGAGGGAGAGGCTGCACCTCACCTCGGAAAACACAAATCCCAGGCAACCTTAAGCCACCGTGCCCTGGGCAGGACAGGGAAGCCCCAATTCATTACCAAGATGGAAAATGACACTTCCCACGCTCTTCCTCAGGAGAGGGGTTGATTTATGATTGCACCAGGGCCTGGGACATTCGTCAGAGCGGCACAGCGTGCACGCCGTCTGCGGGGGCATTAATAGCCGTGTTATTAGCCACCGGCGTGAAAGATGCCCTGCGGATGGGCTATTTGCTGTTATTTATTATAAAAGTGCGCCAGCCCGGCAGCGGGGCCGCGAACGCGCCTGAGCCTGAGCTGGGCCCCTGCCCTGCAGCCCTTCTGCTCCCAGCTGCTCCTCTCCCAGTGCCCAGCCCTGGTCCCTACTGCCCCTCCAGTCCCTAGGAGGGCTTGGGGGTCATTCCTAGGTTGTAGCGAAGCTGGAGGGGAGCAGCTGCTGCCCCCCAGGCCTGCTGCCATGGAAGATCTGCTCAGTGGCTCTGTGCAAAGGGAGGCAAGGAACAAACGCTCTGGGCAGACAGACCTGGGTTGGGGCCTGGCCCTCTGGTTGTGAGCGTGTGACCTTGGACAAGTCTGCCCCTCCCTGCGTGCCTCCCCTTTCTGCATTGGGGATGCAGCCTCTCCCCTCCACACAGGCTGTGGCCAGCTGGCGAGAGCATTCTGACGTGCCCAACACTCAAGCACCCAGCCCTGCTAGCTACTGCTAACGCTAACAGGCGAGACCCCACAGGCATGAGTGGCCCCCCCAGGCGTGAGTGGCCCCACAGGCGTAAGTGAGCCCACAGGCGTGAGTGAGCCCACAGGGGTGAGGGGTTGTGGACCTGCTGGTGGAGAAGAGCAGCCCCCGTGAGACCCCGCTGGAGTTGGGACACTGTACCCCAGCACCCTCCCTGTGCCAGACCCCTGGGAAAGGGTTAGAGTTGGGCGCCAAGGCCCCAGGAGATGGGCGGGGAGGCTGCCCAAGCTGCTGGAGGGCTCTGTCTCCACCCTGTCTCATCCATGCGGAGCCTCAGATTTTCCTCATCTGCAAAAAGCAGACAATCACTGAGGTCCTTTATCTCATGATTCCAGGGTCCTGAGTGGCGAGTTCCATCCGTGTGTGTATCTGTGGGGTGGGCGGGAGGGGAAAAGGCCTCTGTAGTAAAGTGAGGCTCACCTCTGATAGTTGGAGACAGACACGCGGCTGGGCAGTGCCAGGCCAGCATCCATATCAGTGGGGGTGAGTAGGGACGGCCAAGAGTCTCCCTTTGGGGCCACAGAGGTCCCACTGGGCAGCTGAGACAAGTGGTAGGAGACCTGGGAAGGGGAGAGCTCCGGATATCAAGTCTGAGGCCTGGGTTTGTGGCCACCCCTCTGCCACCTGTGGCACAATCCAGACCCTTCCCTTTGCCTCTTTGCGCTGCTGTGGTAAGGGCACCCTGGGTCACCATGGCATCCTGGGGTGGGCTGCAGGAAGGCCAGCCTCCCTCTTCTCTACCACCACCCGGCCCTGGGTCTAGGTTCAGGGGCCTCCCTTTTGGTGGCCCTGTTCATTCATTCATCAGATGTTTACTGAGTACTTTCTGTGCCAGGCT